TGGGCAATTGGACTTTAACATATGAATTTTGTAGGGGACACAATTCTGCCAGAACACCACCTCATAGAGTTACTGTAAAGATTAAATGAGATGATACAGGTAAGACAATGAACAGGGGACCTAGAGTGCAGTAAGAGCTACCAGCAAGCTGCAAATCATTCCTCAGCAGGATATTGGCTAAAAGTGTCCAGGGCTTCTCTTCTCATCCAAATACAGTCCAGCATCATCCTTGCTTAAGAGCTACAGTCCTCATCAGAATCGCATGAGTCTTCCATCCTGATCTGGCCCCTCCCTAGGGTCAATAAGATGTTTTTCCCGTAGAGAGCTCTCAAATTTTCTTTCTGTAACTGCTCCAAGTTTAGTCTTTAAAATGAGAACATGTCCTGTCCCAGCTTCTTAAGGCTCAGAAAGTGCATTTCCAATACTACTGCTATTTCTACTCTTCGGACAAGTCACTTATTATTAAACTTTAATGATAATCACTTGCATTTATAGCCTCTTTCAGCTTACAAAGCTCTTTTCCTATCCATTATCTCTTTTAATCCTCACAACATCTGTGGGAAGGAAGTACGTTCTTCTCCATTTGACAAATGAAGAAAACAATGCTCTGAGGAGTAGCATCGTTATCCTGGTTACACAGTTAACATGTGGCAGAGATAGGCTTCCAATTCTGGTCTTTTACTTTCAATCTATCAGGAGTAGCTTACTCATCAAGGCACTTTTCTTCCTCCCTCCCTTTCTTCCTTCCTTCCTCTCTTTCTCTCTTTTTCTTTCTTTCACAGAGTTTCACTGTTGTTGCCCAGGCTGGAGTGCAATGGTGCAATCTCAACTCACTGCAACCTCTGCCCCCTGGGTTCAGGCGATTCTCTTGCTTCAGCCTCCTGAGTAGCTGGGATTACAGGTGCACGCCACCATACCCAGCTGACTTTTGTATTTTTAGTAAAGACAGGGTTTCACCATTTTGGCCAGGTTGATCTCCAACTCCTGACCTCAGGTGATTCACCCACCTTGGCCTCCCAAAGTGCTGGGATTACAGGCGTGAGCCACCCAGCCTGGCCCAGGCACTTTTCTATAAAAGTGGCATATTGGATAAATAATGCCCCTACCTTTTTCGGAGAAATGTAGGTAAATTATTGAGGTTAGTTATTTTGATTGGAAGTTATTAAAAACTAACTCAAACTGGCTTAAGTAAAAATTGGTTTATTGGATAACCTTAAAAAAACAATTCAGAAGTAGATATTCAGGCACAGATGGATCCAAGTGCTCAGACTATGTTGCCTGAATGCTCTCTCTCCATTTCTTTCTTCTTCTTCTTCTTCTTTTTTTTTTTTTTTTGAGAGGAGTTGCGTTCCATTGCCCAGGGTGGAGTACAGCAGCAGGATGTCGGCTCACTGCAACCTCTGCCTCCCGGATTGAAGGGCTTCTCCTGCCTCAGCCTCCCAAATAGCTGGAATGACAGGCATCCACCACGACGCCTGGCTAATTTTTGTATCTTTAGTAGAGGCAGGGTTTTGCCATGTTGGCCAGGCTGGTCTTAAACTCCTGACCTCAAGTGATCCGCCTGCCTCAGCTTCCCAAATGCTGGGATTACAGGTATGAGCCACCATGCCTGGCCTCCTTCTCCATTTCATAGCTTTCCTTTATGTAGACCTTATTTTTAGACACGTTATCTGCTGAAGCTCTGTCTCCACTAGCTTCAGCTCACAATTCCCTCAGCTGAACACATTTAATAGAAAGCGAATACCTCTTTTCTGTAAACTGCAACTCATGAGCTGGATATTATTCTCAACTCTTTGACCTGGGTTATGGGGCCACTCATGAACCAGTCACTATGTCCAGGACAATGGAGTTTTCTCATTGTCCAGGCCTGGTCATTTGCCCCCTCTGGAGTGGAGTATGGTGTGTGTATGTTGTGTGTGTGTGTGTGTGTGTGTGTGTGACAGAGAGAGAGAGAAAAAGAGAGAGAGAGACCCACTAAGGGATCAAGTGTGGAGAAAGAAGGATCTTCAAAGAAAAAGCACTGTTGTCAGAAATGAGTGGGTGGTGGGCAGACCTCTACAGGGTGTCTTTGCTCTGCAGAGCAGCCACAGAGGAACTGGGGGTCCATCTTAGCAAGAACTCACTTCTTGCCTTGAGGGAAAGTAGTAAGTGGATTTTTATGATTTTTTTCCCAGGACTGCTTAGCTTGGCTCAGCAGGCTAGACAATAAGGCAATAATTCAGGCAGGGTAAGGAGTAAAGAGTAATAAATGACCTGGTATACTCAAGACAGGACCCAAACCAAGAGCAGCCCAGAGGGACTCTGAGATGCTATTTAACTACGGCCACCTCCCTGCTCCTTGCCCCCATCACCTTCCATCTTGTGTGAAGCTGTGAGCTCCATGAGAGCTCATGGACAGGGACCATGTCTGTTTCACTGACCACCTTCTCCCCAGTGCTTAGTCTGGTAACTGTGCCTGGCACATCACAGGAACTCACACATTTATTGGACGATTAAATAAATTAATGAATCAGGTTGATCAGTTTGACTGGCAGGTGTTAGGCACATTGTTCATGTAAAGAGGCCACCGAGCAGGCTTCATGTGGGCAACAAGGCCGTTTTATTTAGCACTTAGCTGCAAGCAGGCCAAGTCCAAGAAAGGAGTTAGGCGAGGGATGTAGGAATAGGAACTGGTTTATAGGTTGGGGCAAAATGGTCAGTTAAAGGTGGTTGTCTATTTTAGGGAGGGGAAGGGCATCACAGGATGCATGGTCACAAGGGTAGAGGGTTATCTATTACAAACAGGCCTGGTCATAAGGGTGGGGATTATTGGTTGCAAGCAGTGGGAAGGGTTCAGTTACAGGGGTGGGGGACTTGAGAAACGTAATGTCTGGGGGGGGGAAATTTTGCACGGTTGAGCAGGAACAATGGTTGAATGTTGCAGGGGGTGAGCAATCAGTTGAGGCAGGAACCAGTCGTTTCACTTCTCTTTGTGTCCCTCCGGTTACTTCAGACTTTCTGGCTCCTGAAGACCATTAGGGGGTGTACGTGCAGGTCACCAAGGCTATAACGGTCAGGTTTGGACTTAGAGGCCTGACAGCAGGATCTATCTACCTCTCTGGATAAGTCAACCCCCTTCTTTGACCTCTGTTCCCCATCTGTAAAGTGGGAGAACGTATAGAATGAAACGCGCTCCACAGACCCTTCAGCTCATGATTCCAGGATCGCAGGGTTCTCAGGAAACAGCCAGGTTGCCTTTCAAGAAACCAAGTGGAAGGGGCAACCAAAATTTATTGAGCACCTCATGTTCAGGCACTGAATGAGACTAATTCATATGGTTCCAAGGTCTTCAAATTGTGGGATTTTATGGATCCTTAACTTTAATAAAATTTGGGATTGAAATAGGCTACCTATTTTTATTTTGCCAAATAAAGACATTTTAAAAACCTCCCATTAACTATCACCACTATTTCTTAAAATAAGTGGATTTTTTTTGCGCTAAGAAAGTAGGAAATACATAATCTCAAAACAAAAAGAGCAGTCCTACTCCCCCACTGGAGAAGACAACTGGCAATCTTACATGATTATTTTTCTGCAGATAGAAATTCATTTCCTGTTGTATTTTATTATTTCTTTTAGAGAAAAGGTCTGTCTCTGTAGCACAAGCTAGAGTGCAGTGGCATGATCATAGCCCATAGCAGCCTTGAACTTCTGGCCTCAAGCGGTTCCCCCACCATACCCTCCCTAGTAGCTTGGATGACAGGCATGAGACACTGTTCCCAGATCCAGATAGATGTTTTGAGATTGACCTGTGTATGGGGTCCAGTGTTTGAGACCTGCTAACATGGATTACTTTTTGCCACCTCACCCCACTTATATATCCGTCCACTTTACAGATCAGGAAACAGGTTTAGAGAGAGTGGTGGTGCAAGGTCACAGAGACAGTTGTCTGGGTTCCAACCCACATCATCTTGACAGGTCCTAAGCCAAAGGCTATTTTCCAGCTGGGAAAGAAATGACCCATGCTGTCTCCGTTGGAGTGCCCCTGGGGTGTTCTGTGGCCTAACCCTGTGCCTGGCCTTTGATGCTTTGTTCTTTAACACATCTTTATGGTGTGCCTACTTCATGTCAGGCACTCGGCTGGGGGCAGGGGAGAGTGTAGGGAGGGAAACCCAAAATGTCCCAGCCCCTTTCTCTCCTGTCCCCTAGTACTCACTCTGGGTCCCGTTCCCCAGGCTTTGCTCCTTGCCCTGGTGGCCAACGAATCCCCATCGCAGGCGTGGGCTGCTAGCAGTTTAGGGGGTTCCCTCTCCCAGGGGTGTTAACAGTTTCCTAGGAGACTCTGGGAACCTTCAACGCCTCCAAGACCTAAAGGACTGAAAGCGTAATGGTGTAACTTCAGGCACTGTGCTAGGTTGTAGGGGAGGTAACTGGGAGCAAGAGATCCAGTTCAAATCCTATCAGATAACACCCCCTCCAGCCCCTCCCCCACTCCCGTGGGCTTTGTGGGGCCTCACAGCACCTCAGCTCAGGATGGAAGAAGGGAGTCCCCCACATCAGGGGACCCTACTGTGGAGGGGTGCTTGCTGCCCCGGCTGGGGGACCCCGGGGATCGTGGCCACCCTTCCCCCCAAATGCCAGAACCAGGAGCACCCTTCCCCGGTTCCGCCCCGCTCCGTCCCGCACGCCCGCGCGGGAGCGCGCCTCCGCCGGGCCGCGCTGGTGCACGAGAGCGCGCGCCTTGGCGCGGGAGCGCGCCCCGGGGAGAACCCGAGCAAGATGGAGGCCGCGCAGAGGCCGCCGCCTGGGCCGAGGCAGCCGCTGCTGGGAGCGCCGAGCCGCGGCGCCTAGGCCGTGCCAGTCCCGGATCCGCTGCCCCCGACCGTGCCCAGGTTGGTCTCCCCGCACCCTCTCCCCCCGGCCGCAGCCTCGCGCGCGTCCGGCCTGGGCGCGGGGCAGCCGCCCCCCCCAGCCCCGGCCCTACTTGGGCCCGGCCGCTCCCCGGCCCCCCGGAGACAGCCCCTGCACACCGCCCATCCCTCGCGGGCCCCGCTGCCCACCAGCCCCGGTCTTTCGTCCCTTTGGCCTGGAAAGCCCCTCTCCCCAATCCTGGCCCGCCAATCCTAGGCTCCCTCCAGCCTACCTCCAGCCCTGGCTTCTGAGGACACCCCCCCACCTCGCCCAGTTTCCAGCAGTCCCAGCCTCCGACTCCCCTCTAGCCGTATCCTAATTTTGCCACTTTGCTCTCTTAGACCCCCATACCAGCCCCCATTCCCCGTCCCAGCCCCCATATCATCTTCCCAATCACCCAGTCCCAGCCTCTTAAATTCCCTCTTTCCCTATCCTAGAAGCGCCCACCACCGCCTCATAGTCCCTTCCTAGACACCCAGTACCAGACCTCCTCCTACCCCTTAATACCAGCCCCCAAATTCCCTTCGGAGCTCCTCAAATTCAGCCCCTCTGCTAATCCTCCAATGCCAGTCTCCAGCCTCCATTCCACCTCCCCCCCGTCCCCTCCTACTCCCCTAATACCAGCTCCCAAATCCCCTCCCCAACTCCCCCATGACCACTTTCAAGCACCTCCCCCTCACTTTCAGGTCTCACATCCCCATCCCAGGAGCCCCCCAACTTTTTCATGGCCCCTTCCTAGGCCCCCCAATAGGAGACCTTTGCCAGTCCCCCTAGACACCACCCCAACACTCTCATGACCCCCTCCTCTCTCCCCATATCAGCTCCCAGACGCCCCCAGCTCTGCCCCAGGCCCCGCCCTCGCGGGTTCCTTGACTTAGGGCCGCTTCTCGCGTGCGTCCCCAGCTCCCGCCCGGCAGCCCGGCGCTCCGTCCCGGGCTGGCGGCCCCAGCCAGCCGCCGCCGCCGCCGGCCCCGCCCCCGGGCACCATGCTGCCCTCGCAGGAAGCCTCCAAGCTCTACCACGAGCACTACATGCGGAACTCGCGGGCCATCGGCGTGCTGTGGGCCATCTTCACCATCTGCTTCGCCATCATCAACGTGGTGGTCTTCATCCAGCCCTACTGGGTGGGCGACAGCGTGAGCACTCCCAAGCCTGGCTACTTCGGCCTCTTCCACTACTGCGTGGGCAGCGGGCTGGCGGGCCGCGAGCTCACCTGCCGGGGCTCCTTCACCGACTTCAGCACCATCCCGTCCAGCGCCTTCAAGGCGGCCGCCTTCTTCGTGCTGCTCTCCATGGTGCTGATCCTCGGCTGCATCACCTGCTTTGCGCTTTTCTTCTTCTGCAACACGGCTACGGTCTACAAGATCTGCGCCTGGATGCAGCTCTTGGCAGGTAGGGGAGGGGCTGGGCAGAACCCCCGGAACAGGCGTCGAGGATGGGGCTCTTTCCTGCCAGGTCCCCTTCCTGAAGGGGTCAGATAGATTCTGCTTCTCTGTGTTAAGACACACACCTCCTTGGCTGAGGGACCCTCAGTGGCTACTGGGGAGGGGGTGCGCTGGAGAGAGACACCTTAGGGCAGAGGACAGAGCCTTAGGACTGGGTAGGCGGGTCTGTTTGCTTGGATATGGGCAGACTGCATTTATTGATGGGTTAGCATCATGTTAGTGTCTCTAAGGGTCTCTGTTGGCTATCTTGGGGGAAATATTTATCTCAATGAAAGGTTGCTGTAGGTATGATCGATTTCTGTTACGTTGAAAAAAAGCATGAGATGGGGAATCAAGAGTTCTGCCTTGGACTTTTAACTTGCTGACACTATCAACTTGGGTGTTCCACTTTACTTCTCTGAGGCTCGGTTTCCTCCTCTGTAAAACAGTGGAGAGGATTTCAAAAGGACAAACAAAAGAGGGTTTGGTAGTGTTTAAAATACTGTGATGGGGTGGGAGAGGCTGTCTATAGTGGTTTTCCAATGTTTGAGATGTGAGTGGTTGAAAGCACTGGGCAACATGGGTCTCTGGAGGGCAGGTTTCCATCCCCCACCCCCACCTTTGCACCAGGCAGGAAAGTTCTGGTGCCATGCCCAATGGGAGTGAGTCCCTGGGACCCTCTGAAATGCTTGACCAAGACAGTCATCTTACCCTAAGAACACAGAGAAGGCCCTTTTGGGAATGAGAAATGCTGAGACAGTTTTCCAGGATCCATTAGAGTCTCCCACTTCCACCTACCTTTTGATCAGAGACAGATTTTGAAGACTCGGCAACTTGGGCTTTTGCCTAATTGCTGGCAGGGAAGAGAGTTGGTCTGGGGAAAGTGGGGCCAGGGAATGGGAGGGGTGAGAGAGGAGAGCAGGTGAAGGGAAAAGTTTGGAGTCTTCCAGGAATGAGAAATAGAAGGGGGAAATGTGATTATCATGCAGCAGAGATTTTTTTTTTTTAATAAGCACCTCAGGACATTCAACAAGTGTCTGCCATTCCAAAAGAGACCCCCTGGAGGAGGCATTATATCACTTGCTGATTATTCCATTGCTCAAAGCATTGCAGAAAGTTAGCTTTGGAGCATGGGGTGTAATCACTTGAATATTTTCATTGAGAAGAAACCTCTTTTTTTTTTTTTTTTGAGATGGAGTCTTGCTTGTTGCCCAGGCTGAAGTGCAGTGGCACAATCTCGGTTCACTACAACCTCTGCCTCCCAGGTTCAAGTGATTCTTCTGCCTCAGCCTCCTGAGTAGCTGGGACTACAGATGCATGCCACCACGCCTGGCTAATTTTTGTATTTTTAGTAGAGATGGGGTTTAACCATATTGGCCAGGCTGGTCTCAAACTCCTGACCTCATGATCTGCCCGCCTCAGCCTCCCAAAGTGCTGGGATTACAGGCGTGAGCCACCGTGCCCGGCCTGAAACCTCTATCTTTTAAAGGAGGAACGTAATTTTTGGAAATGGCTGGAAGTCACTCCAGGTCAAGTATAGAGAATACAATGGGTGACCAAATTGATAATTGTCACTTGGAATGAAAGCCAAGGTGTGAGTATATGAAGACCAGTCATGAAGTTGGTCTATTTCCACAAGAGGACTTTTAAAATGCAGGAAGGAATTACTGCCTCATTGGAAAAATTGCCCAAACTCCTAAAAGGACTACTTTGAAGAAGGCAGAGGTGGACATTCTAATGGACCTGTTTCAAATTCATCTCACTCAACTCAATTTAGATGTGGATTTTTTAGGATTGTTGAAGAGGATGAGAAAGGTGAACTATAGGATGTGAGGAATATGGCTCCATACTTCTCTGTGGTACCCAGGGAGGTGATAGTATATATTTCTAGTCTATTTCTCCTACAAAGGCAAACTGGAACCCTCAATTCATCAACCTTAATTTGGAGTCTGCAGATGGGTTGCTGACCTCTTGGCCTTCAAATTCTCTGTAATCTGTGTGGGCTTAATCTTGGAGATTTGATGAACTGTCCAACATCCCCCCATACAATCATAGATTTTCAGGGACCTTAGAGATCAGCTCCATCAAATCTCAACTTTCCCTCCCCCTGTTTCAGAGAGAGGAAACAGTATAAAGATGGGAAGGGCTTACTTAAAGTCACACAGCTGATAAGGGAGGAAGCTAGTTCTACAACTGGGGATTCTTGACTTCTGGCTCAGGACACTTTTCCTTTCATTACTGCCCCACCCATGTGGACTGAGGGGGCAGTTGGCAGAGTTGAACAGTTTATTTCATTTTGTTCAGAGATTTCTGAGTTCTCTGGGTGAGTGACTGGTTCACTTTGGTTAATAAAGTGACACAAGGACAGAGGCCAGAGCACTGGACTACGAGTGTTGGAATGGGGTTCTTGGCTGACTTGGATCTGTGACTCACCGTGTAGTGTTAAGTAAGCCTTTAAGTTTAAATCTCAGTTTCCCATTTGTACCATAGGGGACGGGGAGCAAGTAGGTAAGCTGATTTAAAGTATCTCTTGGGGGCTGGGCTCAGTGACTCATGCCTGTAATCCCAGCACTTTGGGAGGCTAAGGTGAGTTGATCACATGAGGTCTGGAGTTTAAGACCAGCCTGACCAACACGGAGAAACCCCATCTCTACTAAAAATAAAAATTAGCCAGGCATGGTGGCGGATGCTTGTAATCCTAGCTACTCGGGAGGCTGAGGCAGAAGAATCTCTTGAAGCTGGGAGGTGGAGGTTGTGGTGAGCTGAGATGGCACCATTGCACTCCAGCCTGGGCAACAAGAGTGAAACTCTGTCTCAAAAATAAATAAATAAATAAAATAAAGTATCTTTTGGTCAGACATGGTGGCTCACGCCTATAATCCCAGCACTTTGGGAGGCTGAGGTGGGAAGATTGCTTGAGGCCAGGAATTGGAGACTAGCCTGTTTTTTGTTTGGTTTGTATCTGCGAAAAAATAACATAAAATAAGTAAAAAATGTCAGCCATGTGGGGATCCTGGAACAACTCTTCCATCAAGATCATTCCATTCAGAAAGTGATAAATCACTCATCCTTAGAGGAACTGTGGAGAATCAAAGGGCTTTGTTTGTGTCCGATAAGAATTAAAGTGCCTATCATATGATTTTGTTCCTGTTAACTTTTATTCAAGTATTTTAGGGTCTTCTGAGTACAGAGCATGGGGCCATTGGAAAAATACAAAAAGACATTTATTCTTTTGTTTGTTTTTCACCCGCTCTGTAACCATCCCAATGTTTAGTCCTGTAATAGTGAGATGCATAAGACATCATCCCTGTCTCTAAGGATCTTAAGTCTATACAATGCAATTCCTGCTCTCAGGGAGCATACTCTCTAGTTAGGTCACTATATTAGTCAACAGTCCTTCAGTGGCAAATGACAGAAACCAAACTTGAGCTGGCTTAAATAAATTAGAATAAAATAAAGAGGCTAGGGTTTATTGGCTCACTTAATTTGAAAGTCAAGAGTATTTGGCTTCGGGCATGGACAGAGCCAGAAGCTCAAATCATGCCATGAAGAATCTGTCTCTCTCCATTTCTTGGTTCCTCTGTGTTCGCTCATTTTAAATCCACTTCTGTCTTCAAGGTGACAAATAAGGCTACTAGTAGCTCCAATTTACATTGTTTCAGCTTAGCAGTGCCTGTGGAAAAAGAAGAATTCCAGCAAACATTCCAGGGCTGAGGCAGCAGATTAGCCCAGCTTGGTCAAGTGTCCACCTCTTAATTAATCATGGTGACTTTGTTTACGGCCCAAGCTACATGCCCATCCCTGGAACCACACATGGACTGATAGTGGAGAAAGCTCGATTTCCTCAAAGATACATCAAGCGTGAGCAGTGGCAGAGGGGTAGCATGGGCAAGACAAGCACCAAACTCCCATCTCAGCCCCCTCAGTAGTTAGGACTACAGGCACACACCACCATGCCTGGTTAATTATTTTATTTAATTTATTTTTTGAGATGGAGTCTTGCTCTGTTGCCCAGGCTGGAGTGAGGTGGCATGATCTTGGCTCACTGCAACCTCCACCTCCTGAGTTCAAGCGATTTCTGGCTAATTTTTGTATTTTTTAGTAGAGATGGGGTTTCACCATGTTGGCCAGGCTGGTCTTGAACTCCTGAGCTCAAGTTATCAGCCCACCTCAGCCTTTGTTTTATTTTTTGTAGAGACAGGATCTCACTATGTTTTCCAGACTGTTCAACTCTTGGCCTCAAGTGATCCTCCCACCTCAGCCTCCCAAAGTGCTGAGATTATAGGCCTGAGCCACTGCGCCCGGTATATTTCCCCGGGTCTCGTTTCAGATTTGATTTGGGATTTTATTCTTCCACTGTCTTTGTTGTATGTCCATGATAACTGATAAATGCCTTGAGAGAATTTCTTTCCTCTCTCCCTCCTCCCCTCCCTCTTTCCTCTGTTCCTCCCTCATTTCTTTCTTCCTCCCCCAACTCTCCCTTCCTTCCCCTCTCTCTTTTTAGTACTTTCAAGTGGCTGTTTTACTTTCTTTCTTCTCTTCTAATGTTCTCCTTTCCTTCCCTCCCTTTACTTTTGCCTCACTTTTCTCTCCCCACCCCACTTCTTTTCTTTCTCACATAAATCCTTGTGTCTGTGAAGCACTGAGCTAGCCTCTAGAGATCCTGAGTAGGAATCCTTGCTCCCAGGAAGCTCATAGTCTGATGGGAGAGGCAGAAACAAACACAGATCATCACAATGTTGTACAATACATGAAATGGGAGATTCAAGCACAGGGTATTCTGAGGGCAGCGAGGGAACTTCCAACATAGTTAAGGACAGCCGAGGAGATTTTCCAGAAAGGGTAACATTTGACCTGAGTCTTAAAGGATGGGTAGGAAAGAGGAAGAGGATGATCAAAGGCATGGAGGTGAGAATAGCTACTGTGTCTGGGGAATCTAAGGAACTAGACCAGGAAAGGTAAGAGTTG